CCCCCCCAGCAGTTTCCCCAAGGGAACATTTGCTGTGGAGGAGGAAGCCCAGCCAGCTCCCCTCACCACATGCTCGGAGCTGGTGCTCCAGCACCAGGCAGCCCTCTTGGGCTCTGCCAGCATGGGCAGGAACTGCATGAGCCCCTGCAATGCCAGCACCAGGCTTGGTGGAGCTTCCTGGGTTCAAGGGTACAGGGTACCCGCTCTCTTCTTTCTCCGAGTCTTTTTCTTGCTCTGGGTAGATGCTGTACCTTTGCCTCCCACCAGGCCCTGCTCAGTGAGTAAAGGTAAAATGTACTGCCGTTCCGGGCCCACGCAGGCTGCCAGTGGGGCAATCGTGTTGATGAATCACACTGTCACTGCGGGCGCCCAGTCCTTGTCAAGGCGTCACTAATGAATTAGCTTCACCCCCAGCACGGGGCCTCTCAGCCTTTCCCCACTCCCCAGGAAGGCAGGAAACTGAAACCTGGGAGCAGGGAGGGGCTCTGACAGCTCCAGGAATGGGCCCAGATCCTGGCCAGCCCCTCTGCCCACATGCACTGGAAAAAATGTCCAAAGAACAGGCCCCTCGGCCCCCCAAAACGGCCTCTCCGTTCCTAATCATGAGCTATAACTGTCCTGCCCACCTCCAAATCTGTATTTTTAAAATAAATTTTTGAAATATAGAAAAAGTACAAAGCTCTCTGTGATAAACACCCCTGTGCCCAGAATCCAGCGCTGACAGTAGCTCACATTTCGTCATACTTGCTTTAAATAAAAGGAAGAAAACAGCAAGTGTAACGTAGAAGTCTCCTTTGTCGCCCCTCCCGCGACCCCACAAGCACCACAGCCGCCTGACCCACTGACCCTGCCAAGGCCCCTCTGGTTCCCCACCCCCGCCCATGACCTCCTACTGATCTTTGCAGCTACTGTGGCTGCTGAGACTTGAATAAGATCATGGAATGCTGGCCTCCTACGTTCTTAGAAAGCAAGGATTTGCAAGTATTAGAGCCAACAACGAAATGTCAGAGCTGGGAGGGTGCTTAGCTCCTCTGGGAGATCACAGGCTCTGTTAAATATCTGTAAGAAGCCAGTGACCCTAATCCCAGAAAAGTGCACGGAGGCTGGAACTCGCTCAGTGATGCACACGATTCCCATGGTTCGTGATCGCCTGAGGGTCTAGTCCAACTCCCTCATTAGGCCAAAAAGGAAAGGGACAATATCCTTCGTGCCATGGCCCACTCCCCGTACCTGCACCAGCCAGAACTTGAGTCCTCACCATCATTCAGGTATTCATTCAACAAACGTTAAGCCCCTACTTGTATGCCCAGGCACTGGGGATGGCTGTGAATGTGAACATCATAGACAAACAACCCTGCCTTTTTGCAACTTGCATTCCTGTGAGTGGAGATAATCAAGAAAACGCATTTCGGTGTGTCAGGCAATGATCAGGCTCTGGAGGAGATAAAGCAAGGAAGAGACGAGGAGGAATGAGGACCCCGTTTAAAACAGAGTGGCCAGGGAGGCCTCACCAGCAGGATGGCATCTGAGCAAAGACGGGAAGAAGAGGGAACAAACCAAGCAGACATCTGGGGAAGATGCATTCCAGGCAGAGGGGATGGCAATACCGAGACCCTAGGGCAGGAGTGTGCCTGGGTGTTCTGGAGCCACAGAAAGCCCGGGGAGAAAGGGGAGCTTGGCAGCAGACAAGGCCAGAGAGAGAAAGGGAGGGGGCAGACCACAGAAGGCCTGTGGCCTCTGTGAAGGCTTTGGCTTTGACCTTGGGTGAGCGATCACTGCGGGACTTTGAGCAAAGGAGTGACATGATTTGACACACATTTTAACAGGATCCCTTTGGCTGCAGCTGCAAGAAAGATGTGTGCGCGCATGTGTGTGTGTGTGCCTGTGTGTGTGTGTCTCGGGGTTTGTGCGGCTCCCACGCCTCCCATCTTGGTTCTCTTCCAAAAGGTGATGATGTTTATCATTTACGGAGCACCTACTGGTTATCTAATTTACCTTTCTCCACAGCTTTGCCAGGCAGGTACTAAATCGCCCTGCCCTACAGATGAGGAAACAGATTCAGAGAAGTTAAGTAGCTTGATCAAGGTCACACAGCTGGTCAGGGGCAAAGGCAGGATTCCAACCCAGTCCATCTTATTGAAGAGCCAGGCCTCTTCCTACTATGTCTCCTTGCCTCTCAGCTAGGGAAAATCAGAGAAACCACCTAGGATGCCGAAATGCTTGCCCCCATCCTGCAAACAGCACAAAGATTTCCAGGATGGCCCTACTTGGAGATCTTGATCCCAGGCCCTGGGGTTCAGCATTTGCCCGACTGGGGGTGTCCTAGAACCCACAAGGCAAGCCTAGGAACCCCAAAACAG